CACTGTAAAACAACTAAAAGTTCAGGCACACAATTTGGGTTTAGGCAGATATTCCCGTATGAGGAAACCACAGCTTGTAGAGCTATTACGGCAGAATAGAGCTATTGACCTACAGTTCATGCGCACTGAGCGCGCTGTAGGCAATTATTTGAGAGGCTGGCGCATGCATGTTGATAGGAATATAGATATCACAGATATCAAGCCTCTGATAGCTGATAAAGTCAACCAGGAACTAAACGATCTGGGAGGTATCAAATTTCAGATCACAGTGAAAATGTCACTCGATAAGCAAGTGGGTGTGGGGGGAACCCCCACTGGGGTCACTGAGTACGTTCAGCCTTACTTCCGAGAGGTAAACAAGAAATCGTCACGCATACAGAGACCATAAACGCATCAATCGATACTAGTTTTCAGCAGATACGAGAATACCTAGAACGCTACACACACTTGGGGTCCGGGTGGGCTGTAGATAAAATCGATAATGTCTATCTAGACATAGCTAACTATGTGCCGTTCAGAGGCGGGTCATACCTAGACTTGCCCCCCCTACTATAGGAAAAAGCATGCCATGGTCAACGTCAAGAATAGAGGAGACGATTGCCTGAGGGTAGCTATCAGGTCAGCCTTGTTTCCAGCTGACACTCATTCAGACAGGCTTTCTAGCTATCCCCAAGACGATGGGCTCAACTGGGATGGTATAGATGAACCCACCCCCATATCTCAGATCACTAAGATCACTAAAATAGAAAAACAGAATAATATAGCTATAAATGTCTTTGGGTTTCTAAAGGACTGACTCTGTGCACTATTGTTGTGTTACCTTCTAACACAACAATAGTGCACAGAGTCAGTCCGTTGGGGGGACAGGGGGGGAACCCCCCCTCGCCGCGTTATTAATATATTCATGATCCAGCGAGGTGACAAGTACCACTACGCGTGGATAAAACACTTTAGCAGGCTGTTGTATGACTAATCGGCACACAGAGAAAAGAGCCACTTCTGCGAACGGTGCCTACATGGATTCACACGAGCTGATTTATTAGAATCCCACCGGGAGGATTGCCAAGGTGTGGGGCAGACAGCCATACGAGTTGACATGCCTAAGGAAGGTGACAATATCCTAAAATTCGGCAACCACAAGAACCAAATGTCTGTGCCTTATATCATATACGCCGACTTTGAAGCCTTGGTCAAACCTGTTGAGGCTGCTGGGGGTATCCCTACAGGTGATAGCTTCACACAGAAAACACAAGAGCATGAAGCCTGTGGGTTTGGATACGTGGTCGTCCGATGTGATGGGAAAACGAAAGCTCCGGTGGTGTATAGGGGCCCCGACACGCGGCTGAAAGGTTTCTAAAGTGTTTGCAGGAGGTAGAAAAAATTATTAGGAATGCACTGTATACAGTCGCTCCCATGCGTATGACCAAAGCCGACCGGCTAGCTCACGCCTGTAGCACTAATTGTCACGTGTGTGACTCACCACTGAATGGCGATTCGGTGAGAGATCACTGCCACGTAACCGGCAAGTATAGAGGCGCCGCTCACAGGTGCAACCTCAAGCTTAGAATCAACCCCAAGATAATAAACATCCCCGTGGTCTTTCACAACTTGAGTGGGTACGACTCTCACTTAATCATGCAGGCCATCGCGAAAATCGATGGCAATATAACGTGCATCCCCAACAACATGGAGAGATACATCTCCTTCAGCTTAAACGGCCTTAGGTTCATTGACTCGGTTCAGTTCCTACTGTCGTCACTCGACAGTCAGGTCAAGGCCAACGATACCTTCCTTATCACCGATCGATACACCGACGCCGAGACTAGACCCCTGCTGATGAGGAAGGGTGTGTACCCCTATGAGTACATGGATAGTTGGGCCAAGTTCGCCGAGACCAGACTACCCCCCATCAGAGAATTTTACAGCAATCTTACAGACTTGGCAATATCCCAAGACGATTACTCACACGCTATTAACGTATGGAATAAACTGGGTTGTAAGAATCTGGGTGACTATCACGACCTGTACTTGAGGACAGATGTACTGCTGTTAGCCGACGTGTTTGAGACGTTTAGGCGGACGTGTTTCAAGCAGTATAAACTCAACCCCGCATGGTACTACACCAGCCCAGGTCTGTCGTGGGATGCCTTGCTGAAAAAGACCGAAGTTAAGTTGGAATTGCTCACCGATTACGACATGCACCTATTCATTGAGAAAGGCTTGCGAGGTGGGATTTCCAATGCAACCAAACGATACGCGAAAGCAAATAATCAATACGTGAAGGGCTACGACCCGAGCAAGCCAACCAATCATATTCTCTACCTCGATGCCAACAACCTGTACGGTTGGACCATGAGCCAGTATCTACACACCGGGGGATTCGAATGGGAATTGCACGAGGTCGATGTTATGAGCATCGCATCAGATTCGAACAAAGGTTATATCCTCGAGGTTGACTTAGAATACCCCAAGGTATTACACACATCACACAACAGCTACCCCCTGGCCCCCGAACGTATGAGGGTTAACCCAGACTGGATGTCTGAGTACCAACATAACTTGTTAGGTGGGCGGGTGGCAGACGTTGAAAAATTCGTGCCCAACTTAATGAATAAGACCAAGTACATCGTTCACTATCGCAACCTACAGCTGTATATGTCGTTGGGTATGAGGCTGACCAAAATACACAGGGTGCTCGTGTTCAACCAGAGCCCCTGGATGGAGCCTTACATCAGAATGAACACAGACCTCCGAAAGCTGGCCACCAGTGACTTTGAGAAAAATCTCTACAAGCTCATGAACAACTCGGTGTTTGGTAAGACTATGGAGAACCTTAGGAAACGCGTGACCGTGAAGCTGGTTCGGTCGAATGAGGAAGACAAGCTCAGGAGACTGATAGCCAGCCCGGCATTCAACCGTAGCAAAATATTCACCGATGACCTAGTTGCCCTACACATGAAGAAAAGCCATATAAAATTCAACCGGCCTGTTTACGTGGGGATGAGCATCCTCGATTTATCCAAACACCTGATGTACGACTTTTACTACAACGAGCTGAAGAACCAGTACGACGACATGTGTGAAGTGCTGTACACTGACACGGATTCCCTGTTGATGGAGATTCGAACCGAGGACGTGTACGAGGACATGAAAAAACGCCTCGATTTGTATGACACCAGCGACTACCCCAAGGGCCATGCCATACACAGCATGGTAAATAAAAAAGGTCCTAGTTAAGATGAAGGATGAGTGTGCTGGCACGCCCATAGCCGAGTACATAGGTTTGAGGCCTAAGATGTACTCCATCCTGAAGGCCGACAATGGTGAGATCCGTAAGGCGAAGGGTGTTAAGAAGTACGTGGTGAAACAACACATCAAACACGCCAGATTCAAGGAAGCCCTGTTCAAGACCCGTACCTTTAGACATAAAATGAACACACTTAGAAGTGATGGGCATAGGATATACGGACTGACTATAAACAAGACATCCCTGTCGCCGATGGACACTAAACGTTGGATAGCTGTTGATGGGATAAACACGTACGCGTACGGGCATGAGAAAATTGAACCAAGAACATAGATATATATACGACATGTCACGGAACCAGAGAAAGTTTGAGGCTATTTACTACAGCCCACGTGGGTACTGGAAAGGAGCTAGCGCTGTACATAAGCTGGCTAAAATGGCGCGAGTACCCCCGGAAGAGGCCAAAGTGTGGCTTGAAAAACAAGCCCTGTGGCAGATCTATTTACCGGCACCACGCTATGTGCCTAGAAGGAAATTCGGTATTAACATACCCAGTAGCGTTCACCAGGCTGACCTTCTATTCCTACCCCACGACAAGAGGTACAAGTATGCCTTAACCGTAATGGACGTAGCCAGTCGCTACAAGGAAGCCGAACCCTTGACCGCGAAAGATTCAGCCCAGGTAGCCAGAGGATTCGAACGCATATACAAGCGCAGTCCGCTGACGTGGCCAACAGAGCTGCAAGTTGACCCCGGGCGGGAGTTCATGGGTGTCGTGTCACACCTGTTAGACAAACACGATACAAAGGTCAGGCGTGGCACGGCAGGAGCCCATCGCAGCCAAGCCATAGTTGAGAGATTCAATAGGACTTTGGCTGAGCGCTTATTCGGGCATCAGTATGCGAGGGAGATGGTCAACCCGGGGAAGCGATCGACTGAATGGGTCGCGAGGTTACCTAAGGTGGTGTCGGCAATCAACCATGAAGCCACCCGTCTCACCGGCAAGAAACCGGCAGACGCTATCAAACTAAAATCAATAGAGGCAGAGTCGGCTGCTCCATTGCGTGGGAAAGAGAAACAGATACCAGATAGGGCCCTAGTGAGGTATCTATACCAGCCGGGGGAACACGAGGGTGATAGCCGTAAGCGAGCCACCGATCCTATATGGTCAGTCAAAACTTACAACATAGATAAAGTGGACATGAAAGCCGACGAGCCGAACTTGTACTACTTGAGAGATGGGCCAGGGAGAGGGTTTGTTAGACAGGAATTATTAGTCATACCGTACTGCACAATGTTACCCCCAAAGCAAAATATTTAACACTTACCAAGTAATCCCAATATAGTATCCTGTCAACACGACATGTCACATGATCAGGAAAGTGCTAGTTCGCTATCTCAGGATAGACCCGTTAAACCGACACACTTCAGCCATGTCCCTGGTAGCTCAGTCGGTTGAGTGGGGCGGCTGTGAGGTATACATGTCGAGTTCGTATCCTGCTAGCGTCTCAAACTTTTTTATAGTAGGGGTAATGGGGCGAGATCTAAGGGCCTGAACAAAAGCCTTATTTGGGAAATAAGGCTTTGCAGAGGCTTTTGTTGGACTTGGTCCAAAACCCCCATTGTATATACTACTTGCGTCGTTATAATGCTATCACTTAATATTCATCACTTGCTTTTCCTTATAGCTAGAATAGAGACATTTAGCAAGCAACAGAGAAAGGAATTAAAATGAAAAGAAGTGAATACAAACCCTGAAATCGATTGCCTTGTCACCATGTTTATGTTGCAGGTAAAGGGGGTCCACAGTCAGAGCAGTTGTGAGTGCCTCGTTGTCCTTCACCCTGTGGATGGTTGAACCAAACATACATTACATCCACAACCTCAGTATGAAATAGTTCACGTCTCTTCACCAGACCTCAAGATTTTAATTCATTGTACATAATACACATTCATTGGAATACAAGCAACAGTTATGCATTACCAAGTACAACAAATGACACAACTGAGACGAATGACATAATGAGAAACAATAATTATTATAATGACGCACTGTGTGCTATTCACATCAATATGAAAACCGTTGAAGTATATTGACACATTCAGGATATGTGAAATGTACTAACTAAATATCTAAATATCCAAACATGGACTAAGACCACGCTTTATCAAAACCAACATATCGGTACATAAAACATGATACCAAACTACAACAGTGACACATGGGTACATGGGATGGGTGCTTCATATGTGAGAATATCGTCAAATAAGGCAGCTGTTTGTTCTAGGGGCACGACTACAACAGTGACACATGAGTACATGAGATGGGTGCTTCATGTGTGAAAATATCGTCAGATAATGCAGCTGTTTGTTTTAGGGGCACGACTACATGGATGCTGATATTTTCTCGTTTTGCTTGTTTTGAGAAGTCCTTATCAACACTGACAACTTTCACTAGAAGCCTATTATGTCAGTTTAGGGGAGCGGGGTTCATGAAGTCTTGTACATTCTCCCGAAATGTGCTGCTGGGTCTAGACGTGTGGCATCAGGTTGAATAAGACCACCCCTCGTGTAAACTTCCGAAGGTTTCCTATTTGGTGAAATAGAGCCAAGAGCCAAATGTCAAGGCCACATCAACTGGCAAGCACGTAAAATACGATAATGTTGATCAGCCACAATTATGACAACTTGCTGAAGTTATAGTATATCATGCTTTCCAATGACCATGCATTCACATAGAATTTGACCGTTGATAAGTTATGAAGTGGTGATTGTGTGTGTGTGTGTGTGTGTGTGTGTGTGTGTGTGTGTGTGTGTGTGTGTGTGTGTGTGTGTGTGTGTGTGTGTGAGGAGGGTCAGGAGGGAGGGGTGTGTGGAGTGGGGATTGAGTTGGAGGTTTTAAGCAGCAATAATTCGTAATTGATGACAGGATCAAAGGCTCTTCCTCCATGTAATAGCCACTAGAGTGGATCATTTATAGCAAAGGGACAACTGTTATGTTCTAAACATATCAGTTAGATACTATAGTGGACCTGATATGATACATGTTATCTTCCCCTTTCTCCGTGTGTATGGGGATGGTGGGGTTGAGATATTCCTATTAGAAATACAGTATGGACAGTCTTAGTCATGTACATATTGTATAACCCACACTTCTGATGTATATAGCTAGAGAGGTACTAATAATGCATCGGTTTATCAAATCTGCTTCGTGTCACCATATAATGTATAGCTTTCTAAAAGAGAAGAGGAACCTGTCTGTCAGAGTGGTTTAAGTGAGTGCGTGATGTGTTATTTGTAGATCGAATTTCTATTTTCAGAGACAATTTGTCAAATCAAAAGTAAATGCCATCTGAACAATATGTGAAATGCAGGGCTTCATCATTGATAACATCTTTGTACAACATGGGGGTCAAACATATTATATAAGAAGTATACCTCCCCATGGGCACCAAGTGTGCTCCCCTCTTTGCAGTTCTGATTCTATATGCATATGAATTAGAATTTCTGTTTGGGTTGCCAAAATCCAAACAAGCCCATTTAGCCATGTATATCGACGATCCGATATCGTTCAATAACAATCAAATATGCAATGCCCTTCCACTGATTTTTCCATCTGAACTTAGACAAATGACTCTCCACAAGGCCGTATGACAAAGCATTATATTATATTAAAGCGCCTTAAAATATTTTAGTGCCTTCGGTATAGAGTTACCTCCCTTTGTCCAGCGTTTGCCGTTTCAATAGCTTCCCAACACTAACCCAGTTACCACTTCCTGAAATATTTCTGGGATTGGGATTTTTGAGAAATGCACATTTAGCTGATGGGTTGAAATATCTTTTGCATTCGGTTGATAGTAGTTTGTTTTTTTAAATTGAATGTGAATGGCGTCAGTGACAAGTTTACTAAAGTGAGTTTGGTTGTTAGCAAAAACAGTGATGTCAGTCCAACGGTATCATGATCTGTATCGTTTCGTCAAATCTTTTTCCACACGAAAACACATTCCGTTAGCTTCTTTGAGTACATTCGTCTCTAAGTTCCATATTTTTAAGTCCACTTTTGTATTCTGCCCTGATTTTATCTTTTATAAGGGCATCCTGCACAGACTACATTCCTGAGTAAGTATAGATCTGACCTTAAACGAGATGGTCAATAACACATCCTCCAAAACTGGTCAACGATGGACGTATTTGTCAAACCCGAAGGACATGGCAATGCCACTGGAAAAGGACTCGACAAGGAGAATCTATTTTACAGTGTGGATTCTCCCTTGGCAATATGTTAAAGTCATCCATGTAATGGGGGTGAGTAAGAGGCGTTGACGATTGTGCTGAGGAGGTGCAGGGCGATAGCCTTCCTATTTGTTAAGCAAACGGCGTAGCATATTTAGCGACAGTCAGATTGTACAACCAAAGCTGCATGAATCTCCTTGATATATTCCTCTTCTGATAGAAATAGGTTCTGGCGTGAGCACCTGCCCTTGAGAATATACCTGAAGCTGAGTTGACCGGCAAGACTTCAGTAAAACAAGTAATCGGCCCTGCGCCGATATAGATTTGGGCATTTTTATTACATTTTATCAAGCAATCAGATGTAATAAAACACTAAAGAGGCGACCTTATTTTGTCATGTACACTATAATTATAATCATCTACCCACGGTTAGTTGCAACTACTGTCTCCAAAACCGTTCACTTTATATCCCATTGTGTTTTTCCATCAGTAACAATGGCCTATACAAATGGTTTTACACAATTTATATTGTTTGATGGAATTTTGGTCCTGTTTTCTCTCCTGTTCAAATCATTTGCCTTTTGGAAATCCAGAATGTGATACAGAATTTTCGGTACTTTATTATCAACCCAGTATCATTATTTCCACAGTTATCTAGATGATATCTAGATAATAGTCTCTGCTCAAATGCAATGTATATTTTCTTAAACACGTGATCTAAATTATAGAGTCTAGAGTCACTTGCCTGGTGTGACACCAGTTTTGATACTTGAATTATTCGCCTACATGTACGTACGTACGTGCGAGGTTTGATTCTTATACTGTATCCAGACATTATTGTATGCATTTATTGATTGATTGTTTTATTAAATAATATCCAAGTTGTTATGTATACAAACTGTAATAAAGTCATTTGATACATATACATATATAGGTTCTTATGTTTTTGTCTCGGTATGTCAAAGGGAGGTAACTGTACTGTAGTGGTGTACATGATGGTACATGATAGTCCGTATGTTTCACTATCCGAACGTTTTTGATGAAACACGGAAGTGTTCGGATTAACGCGGCCTGACTGTATTCATATTTTCACCATCTGACACAGAAAATAACTTTACTGTTGAAACACAGAGAATCGTGGCGCTTTACTATAAACAAACTCTTTTAAGAGCTAAACCGGACGATAGAAACGACGAGGAATAGACTCGTCAAGTATGTTAATTGCAAAAAACTGACTATCATCTCCTCTTGGAGAGCCTTGCTTACATCCATTCAAGTAATAGTATCTTTCACTCAACTGTTGACGTAATGTAACTGTTAAGTAATAGATGAATTTATTTCTTTCTCAAAATAATTTCGTATTTGTGTCACTGCAATAGATATATTCTATGTCACAAGTGCCACATGTTAATTAAATACACACTGAAATGTTTTTGCATATGGCCTTTAATCTCAATATCCAAATACACCATATAACAATATTCGCTTCACGATTTGTACCACGAAAATAATTATATTGTTTTCCATTGTTTTAGCATGTTTGCCTTCTAGCTAATAACGTTTGTAATCTACCAAAAACCAGAGTGAAACTTCAAACAACCAATTCTGAATACATGATCCTGTCATGTTTTCACTTCTGAACGAACTTTTGTTTTCATCAGCGAAGACCTCAGATACTTCAGAAGATACACCTATGTGTGCAAGATCTCAACCGTCTTGACGGTGGAAATAAAATACATTCTTAGGTACTTCGAGCTACTTTTAAAAAATACCTCTGTCTAAATACAGTACTAGGTCGTTTTTAGCATCAGATATTCCGCTACATGTTTTGTTTGAGCAAAACGAAAATTAAGTATCTGTAAAATGGCCTAGGGCTGGTTAGAAATCTTAATTGTATCAGCCACAGTACGAGGCCAGCCATGTGTACACGTGCAAACAAAGATGTTTTGTTACACTGGAGACCCTTCACAAATGTCTTAATCACAACTCAAGTGGCAGCTCCCGGCATTTCTGGTCTTCCGTGGAAAAGTGAATTGGACGTCACTGACAGTCCTAAAGATCTGCCACTACCTCTTCCCATATCCTTCGCCTCCTTTCCCGTTTACAGTGGTCTTCAAATTCCCGAAGATGGTGCTTAAGACATTCATCTCTCTTCTCACTTTATGATCTAATTAGTTGACAAAGGTGAGCGGTTCATAAACACCTGGTACAGAAACTTTGGCGGAGACATAGAGAGTGTATTGATAATATCTGACTGTCCCATACGTTCAAGGTAGTGTAAGGGAAACAAAGGTTAACGGAATATGTGCAAGCCTTGTACGACCAAGTTAAATTGGGTTGTGTGTTTGTCAATACGAACTCACCTTTTTCGAAAACGTTTATTTTTTAATCAAACACGAGTATTCTCATTTCAATGTGAATGTTCAGTCTATGGTTGTTTAAAGATCACATATACTCTAGGGGGGTACAAATACATAAATCACTAACTGGCATCGCTATAAATGAAACCCCGTCATTAACACTACTCACTTCGATCTTTAATCAACTTAAATCGACCTTTTTGACAACAGTGCACAATTCTCACCCTCGAACGAAATTTCAAACAATCAGAGCGGCGCGTCTCTGTGACGTCATATGAGGAATAGATATGAGGGCCGATGCAGAATTCATCTACATTTCAGGGGGTAAATTATCTTGTTTACAGGTTTGTATAAACCTGAAATCGTGACAACTGTTGTGGAAAATGAAAGCTATATGTTCTCACAATCTACTGTCATATAATTTTGTCTCGTGCTTTGCCTAGTTTCCGAGTTACAACTTGTTTTCATAGACGATTCTGTCAAAATCGCTTGGTGTCCTTAGGCCTTATTTGTATAATGACTGATCCAAATTGATCCCATTTCTGTGGTTTTTTACCTCGATATTTAAACATGTCATGTAAAAATGTGACGTCTATTACGTATGATATTAAAAATTGACATTTGATTTATTTGAATCGGTAAACTAAACAACGATATTTTGCCATTGCTAGAAGAATCTGAAATTTTACTTAGGTAAATAGGTACATACAGTTTTAGCACACAGCAAATGCTTATATGTATTTCTTATGCAACACTGAAGTTCTGTTTGTATTCTCAAAACAGTGTCAGCCCATAAGTTTTCACATGCAATACAGCAATTAATACTCCCTCGTTGTAACCCGTGTTAAGTGGTATAAACCTACACATGTTATTTGTCATCATTCACTTGATGGTCAGTTAATGAATTTATAACAGGTATAATGAGTGGTAACACCACTTAGATTACCCGACAAAGGTTCCCATTTGGCATTTCTTGTGTCTGGAGTAAATATTCAACATTATAAACATCGCTCAAAGGATTAACCGATAACACCCTGATTGATTAATTACTTTTATCTTACACAGCGGATTTGTCAAAAGGTAGTGTTTATGTATGTAGATTTACTAATCTATACGGAATACATTCTGTCGTGTCTGTGTCTGCGTAAAAACAACGTCCTTCCTTCAAAGGATTAACCGCCAATACAGTGATTGATTGCTCAATATTGGGTAACTAAATTACCGTTTTTAAAGAATGGCGGACATTATGCAATCAGTTGCCAGGTGTGCTATCTTGGATGACCAACGAGACTATACACCAATGTGACATACCTGAAACGATATATCACTTTTCCGTATACTAGACTGTTAAAAGACACATTACTTGGAACAGCTGCAGATGAATGGCATATCACTCGTTTTTGTGGATATTGATGGATACATTCCTCGAACAAGGTAATAGCCTGACATTGTTCCTATAATTTAAGCTGTTTTAATTTTAATATTTGCATTTTGTTTTTATTCATTTGTCGTAGCATTCAACAGAATCGTTGTTTTCGCCGTGAAGTGTCATGAGACATTCACTAGGGCGTGTGTGCGAATCATGATTCACATTGGCAAACTATAAAATGTCTAGATATTACAGTCCTGTTATAAATGCACTATAAGTATCAGCAGATCGTCTGCTTTTTATTTAGTTTCAAAATGCATACAAGTATGATAATAAACTAATTAGGATTATAAGACCAAACATAAAGACGTACATTGACTAGTATCTACATACTGGTGAGTGCACGTTAACCACGTGAATGTAGCAAGAAATTTGTCGCGCAGTATTGTCACTTCGACCCCCCACCTCGCTTCCGTAGAAGAAATCGTTACTTCATATGCTTCTTTGTCAGGCGATATGACACTGGTGTAATACTGCCGTAAGAATATTACACTGCCGTATCTTCCACGGGCCAGTGATAAAAGTTGATATCAGGGTCATTACAGGGGGAATTACCACGACTCCTGTGTATAAGGGGCGGAGAAGGCAGACCAGGACTCAGAATCAAGAGGATTGCAGCTACATTTGCCACCAAACGAAATCAACTCTGTAAATCTAATCTCTTGTATTTTCCCCATGGGCACTGAAAGCGAAGGAACCTCGGCAAACGGTTTGATGACATCACAGTTATTCAAAGCACAAGTGGCACCAAACCAACTGAAAAAAACTGTAGTTGTTATGGGACCTGTACCAAGGCGATATCCAGGAATTCGAAGGCGACTCAACGCCCTTGAAGTGCAGCGTCCTTGGAGTGGCTATAAACGGCGCAGGGCATAAGTATTAATGTGTTGTTTGCCAGAAGAAATATGAACCTAAAATTACATATTGCATTCGAGTATTTACTTCTGGATAATTAGTTGACAAATGTGTCATATTCAGTACCGAATACACAGTTGGATGAATGAATACACAATACCATTTAGAAAGTAGTCATATGTAACATTTGTTTATATTTGGGATTACACATTCCTAGTAAAGTACAGATTGTAGTACTTTTGTTGGGTTGAGTCCCATCCGGGATTCGAACCCTCGCCATTCGAGTGAGGCACCTAATCGCCAGCACACGGGATCAGCCGCCTAACCCGGTCAAGGTATAGTGAAAACGCTACCGAACACATACAAGAAAAGTGAAAAAGCTCCCCAAAATAACAGTATTTCATTTTAAAGGCACACCAACATAGTTGGATCAAAATTTACCATACATATTCAGCACACTTGACATGGCAACAGGTATGGAGTAGGGTGTTCAGTGTTCTCACTGCCGAAAGAAAAAATATTACTCCCTAACCTAAACGCGCCATAAGAGGGCACCGAACTGACAATGTCAGATCAGATCTCTACTGAATGTCGCAGCAATACGGCGCTAGTCCCCAACCTTGTATGAGCTGGGCTTTACATTATGAGTGGAAGAACTGGTCGTTCTCCGGTCCAGCGATCAATACAGTGTGCACATATTCTCTGTAGGAGCATTTCAGTCGCTGTCCTTTGGTGCTTGCAAGTGGTCCTAACATGCAAAATCAAAAGCTACTGGTCTTTGTGAGGTTGTCACTTATTGTCACTCAAGTGACTTGTGGTGAGCACGCAGTCTGGCCACGTGGCCAGGGGTATCTGCATGTGTCACATATGGTCATACTGGCTCCGCGTGGCTGTAAGCAGCGTTCTCTTATTCAAAATTTGGACATTCTAGGGTTTTGTATTATTTCATTTAGCATCCATTGGATTTGAGGGAATTGTTCATTCATTGTTCATTCATACATCAATCAACCAAGGCCGATTGTAAATGCTAGCAATGAGTCCAATTGGTAAAATGTGTTAGCTTATTGCCACAAAAGATCCAGTACAGCCGTGCCGCAATACATGTACATACGTGCACTTAATGTTCACACAGTCATAACCACTTTCTACCTGGTGCATGGATCTTTTATCTTGACTGAAAAAATGAAATAGAAAATTAGTTTAGTCATACCTACCACATCAATGAGCAATCAAAGTTGACTTGGAGCCATTTGTTGGTGTTGAAATTAAGAGAGTTTGCATTCTGAAAACAAAAACCTTTAATAGGTTATATGGTATATGGAAGGATATACATATACGGCTTTAGAAAAGTCTACTGGTAGTAACATAGCTAACAAACTAACGACTTACATATCACTATATTTCACACAATCAGTCAGATTTCATTGTAGCACATGACGTTTTTCACAAGTTTCAATACTTAAATATCCGACACATACATATGCAACAATTCATGTTGTTCTACTAAATAATGAGTTGAAAGAGGGCACTCTGTGGGCGAGTTGGTGATTTAATATGTTACGTTGCATCGGCATTACTTCAGCCAAATAACGACGAGACCAAGTCTGAACACGTACAGATTGTAATTAGAAAAAGTCCAAAGGGGCTTCTTAATGATATTTCTTCATTGCAGTACTAGTTACAAACTGAAAAAGTCATAGCACCAAATCTAAAAAAAACAAGCAATTTGTGGAAAACCTTGGTGTGTGCGCGGATGATCTCAAGAATGAAAGCCTCTGAGTTGCCATTTTTCTTTTATTGATTATTCTCAACGTTATTCTCTAGTATAGGGGTTCTTCATTCATCTACAACAGTGTTTGCAAAATGACAACAATGCCGGCTGGTGCTCGAAATAATCAATAACAGTGTGAGATGTATGGCGTTGCATACGGATAAGAAGTAATAAATACCAAAGCTGTGACAACACATCATTCCCTGTTCAGTACGTTACAATTAAATGCCACCTCTCTCTCCTATACGGGGATCAACATCTGATTTCGCAAAACCTGAGTATTAAAGTGTAAAGCTGGAGAGCTTTCTCTTTAACGTTCGCAGTAACGTGTTAGCGTCTCCCCTGCGACGTCACTTCCTGCTCTTTGAAATGCATCTGCAGTTGAATGTTTAAGTACTACATATAATGATGTTCTCTTTGTCAATAGTTTGCACAAGTCGTCATTTTATTCCAAAACCCATGTAAACGTTTGTTACCTTGACGGTAATTATTCTTTTCATCTCTTTTAATTTATTTGTACTCGGAGTGTCTTGCGCTACATTTACTAGACTGTATTATTTGGCATAATAATTGTCAGCTGGTCTAATGTATATTCATTTTTCAAACCACCTTTTGAATGAAACAGCAAACGCGCACCCTCGCCCTGCTATATAGGCACATATACATTTGCCAAGCAATTATTACATTTTCTAAGTATATTATTTCAATAGATGGTTGCACTGGCAATATTCCTCCATCTTTGCAAAACAACTGACAGTGTTTTTTACCTACAGTAAAGCGTCCTACTTGAATAACATCATAAATCACTTTCAGGAATATGTCCAAGTGAAGTTTCTTACTTTGGTTACTAGATTTACATCATTTTGCGTATATGGCAATTTCCTTCAGGAATTGCAAGTTGAAACTGACATTGATATCAGGGTGTCTTTTAATAACAGAGTCTGTTCGTTCCAGAACGCTTACAGGAAAGAGAGAGGTGTTAACTATTCTCTGGTTCATCCACACAAAATGAGCACACGTTTTCATGTATTAGTTTCTTGATGCATAGTTCAATTTTCATGTATAGTATTTGATGAATAACTTCTACTGAAAAATGTCTTGTGTACATCTTCTGTATTTAGTGAATATAAACGTCCATGGTTGTGACATGTTGGTAAGCTATTCCCACTTTCTACGTGCAGTTTTCGTAAGAACGTCGAAAAAGTCATTTTCATGGAGTAATGGTATTCCTCAGCACCATTTTTGACCATTTTGAGTTACACATGAGCATTGCTAGTTACAATAGACACCCATTTCATTCTATATGGCCCAAAGTCAAACTTTCTCAAAACTAAATATACAAACTGTACAGAAAGCTTCTTGGGAGTGCTTTACATTAAGAATGCTTACCTTTTTTGTATCTCATTACCGAACGTAATATCGTACCAGAACATTATGTTTTCTCTCATGTATCTACCTATTTGGGCATGCATGTAATGAATGATGCCCATATCCATAGTCAGTCAGTTTCCTATATTGTTTAACATGTCAAAAATCCGAAAGAGACTTAACGAGTTATGTTGAAAATCCACCTTATCCTGAACTATAATCATTTTGTATTGACCCAATCAGATTCAAATAGTTTCATTCGATTTTCCTTCATATGGCTTATCAATGTTTTTTGTTTCTGATTCCTTAAATCGGTTTAAACTTTCTTCATCTATTTCATTTTAGCATATAGGGCTCATAGAATGATTTTTTCTGTAGTCAATACCTGTTTTTCTTTGTATTAATTTCACTGTTTTCATAAGTAGACTATGATTTAAACATTTATTTTCCAAATGACAAAAAAACAAAGTACGCATTTCTCCCGTCATCGTACCATGTAAGTCAAGGCATAATCTGAATCTGTTTTCTCATAAACACTTTTTTTAAAGTTTGAAATGTTCCATTAACAGTGTTTCATCAATTTGTACGTCACTATGTAAATAAGGCTCCCAAATCGTTTATGTCAATAATCTTGCCATAATTTTTTTCTTTATGTAAGTAAAATAAGATACAGATATACCTCTAATTTTCATCACCTAGCTTTCGAAACATAGACAGTCGTTAATGTTCAGTTTCAGAGTGACGTCATCGGCGCCTAATGTATTTAAATTATGTGTTTTATCTGCGTATTCTTCTTTACTTTCCTCAATGATCGTTTTAATCACTTTATCGTCCACAAATCAATTATAGTCCTCTTCATTTATAATGCTCTTGTTTCGACTGTGTCGCCAAATTCACAGGCAACTTTTGTTTGGATCTTGCCGTTATCGACCATGCCATTTGAAACAGTCGTTTTCTCTCTGACATATTTGTTCTGGTTCCTTACAGTCTGTTCTGTAGCATCCCGCCTTAATGGCAAGAACATTCCTTGTTATACTTCCCTCCGTTGTTTGACTACTGAATCTGTGGGAGCGTCATGTTTTGTGCATTAATTGATTTATTTCACGCTACAGTCTGTAATTCATATGTAAGGGACATGTGTGAAACACGTCATTTTTGTCTGCTTTGATTGTGATGTTTTTTTACGCTATTTGAGAAAAAACCCCATTGTTTTGGTATACAATCTAATTTTAAGGATATACTGGGTATTCTTTCCAGTTCGTTGAGGTGCGACTAATCATGTGCATATTTTATGTGTCACAAAAATAAAACCCCATTCGGTTAGTGTGCTGAAGCAGCTTTGGATCAAAGCAGGCAGCTGTTCATTGTATTGCTGGATGTATTGATTTGTGTACAGAATTTAACCTTGTTTGTATTAATTGCCACATCCAGCCTTCTGATATCGAACGGTTAGTGTGCGAAAAAAACTGAATTCAACAGACGTACCAATAGGAAAATTTAACCTCGTTTTAATCAATCAAAATCTTTCATCTCAGGATGACAGATTTTGATTGATTAAACAGTTTTGGTTGAACAATAAGTCAACACATGTTATCGATGGCCTGATGCACTTAACGTATATTAATAAAATACTAAATTTGGAGTTATTTGGATAAACGTTTGATATCTTTAATGACCTTTAACATTCCTTACAGTTAATACTGAGTTTAGAAAGTGATCAGATGTAACGTATGCCATGTTTGAGATAACACTTCCTCAGTATATTTCTAAACAAATATTCTGTGGCTTTCAGCAATGGGAGTCTTGCCCGTTTACACTTGTTAGAAGGTTACACAAAGTACGTAATCTGAAGTACAAGTTGTTGGACTTGATGGTTGAGTGGGTAGGATTGCTGACATTGTTTGCTGGAGATGCACGGTGCCTGCGGGACTAGAATCAGTACTTTTTTGAGGACGTGTAACTGGAAATATTACATGTGTTACATTCGACCACTTTCTGAATTGTCTGTTCCCAAAGGTATACTCTTTACTACTATTGTCGCATCACTGTAAAAGAACATTGCACATACGCCATTGTTATTTGTGCATCGATTTTGTCTATCGATTTTGTCTGCAGTTGTACTGATTATATAATCTATTTCAGTACGTACCTATTCGAACCTTACAAGTTATATACTGAACACGAATAAGATTTCACATTTGGTAAAATTAATTATATTAAAAATGGGTAGCACAAGGTATTTAATATGGGCGATTACCATTAGGGCCAGATCTCATCTGACACATCCGCCCATTCTTTTCCAAACACGCCACCCCACACGTGTACGGGGTCACGTGTCAACAATTTCACGAACCTAACCACCAATATGTGTGCAGAATTTGCTGGTGATTAGAAAAACCATGTTTACAATCCTTGAGAGATAAATAATTGTTATGCCACGCCTTGCAAGTATTGAACGGAAACGTGCCAGTCTACTTTTCCGTTGCACGTGCCATGAGATGCAGTAGATGGACTCACAATCGGAGGACACGTGTGCATCAGACATTTACGACATCTGATCGTCCAAGGTCCGGACGGCCACTTGTGACATCCGCTCATGCCGAGGACAATCCAATCAGCTATGTCCCTAATCGTTTTACGACGCCAACGTCAACCAGTAACGCACTGTTTAGGAGTTGCGTAACTGCCCAGACCATACGAAACTGCTTGCGCGCTGCCCATCTTTCGTGCACGACGTCTTTGTGTTGAGCCGATTTTGATACAGGTAAACCGTAATGAACATCTTTGCTGGGCACAGTTGCACTCACGCCGGAGCCAGAGACAATGGGATAGGGTTCTGTTTGGCGACAAATCGCGTTTTATGCTGCGATTACCCATGGACGAGTGCGAATGTCACGTCCTGTGCTGCGGGTCAAAAAGCTTACTGATTTCGTGGCCTTAGCGTGATGATTTGGAGAGCTTTCCGTGGGAACGTGCACTCACGTCTTCTCGTGATTCGTGGGAACATCAATGGAGCGGGATATCGTGACCAGGTCCTTGTACCGGAGCTGATGCCGCTCATGGCATCTCATGGGCCAGGCCTCCATTTCCAACTTGACAATGCAAAGCTGTTTTGACACATTTCCTGCAAAAAGCGGGTATTGACGTCATGGAGTAGCCATCGAGATCACCTGACCTCAATCCCATCGAACAGGAATGACACGTCAAATGTGAATGTTCAAAAGCTGCACGCCATGTTGGTACAACAATGATGCAAGTTGTCTTATGCTGTGTTCACGGTGTTACGCGGTACTAAACAAGCTCCATGATGGATAGTCCCTGTGAAAATGAAACAGTGACCCCAACATGCTACTCTTGAATGTGGAGGGTGCTCAAAGCACACCTTAATGCCTAATCCTGTTTTAATGTACTCTCAATACGTCCATAAACCAGATGGCAACACGCTTTGTTTAACATGGGTACATTTTAAACTTAAAGTAACATATGTGAAGTATAATTTTTTCATTATTTAAGTGTGAGTGACTTAGGTTTTAAGCCGCTTTTAGCAATATTCCAGAAATATAACCGCGGGGGACACCAGAAATGGGATTCACACATTGTGCCCATGTGGGGAATTGATCCCGGATTTTCGGCGTGAAGAATGCTTTAATCACTGGGTTACCCCACCGCCCCACATTATTTAAGTCCTTCCTGTGAGGTTTCTATCAGATCATGAATTACTTTGAATAAATTGCAATGAAACTATATGATGCAACTATTCCTCCTGGAGTTCCATTCATCTGTTGCAACAGGTGACTGCGTTTATTCACAACATGAATGCGACTTACCTCAATCCCTTTTAGTAAGTGTTGAAACTCTGGACAAATCATGGCATTGCCAGCGTATGCTGCGTCCACGTGAAGCCAAACATTCTCTTTGGCGCAGACTTCACCTATTTCTTGAATGTTATCGAAGGAGCAGCATGCTGTTGTACCAAGAGTGCCACAAACCTGATATAATTATATATATAAGACAGAGTAACATAAAAAAAAAAAGAAAAAAGTTGACTCACCTAAATCTATTTTCTTCTTCGGTTTCTAGTCTATAGTCTATTTAGTCTTAAATACCAAGTTAATCATAAGAGGTTTCAAATTTCCAAGAATGGAATGCTGTCATGTGTCTTAAGGCCCCCTTTACACTGAGCCGCGACCGTTCTGCCTTCTTTGTGCGTTCTAAAAATGACCAGGACGCTCAACGGTCGCCAAACTTTAAGAAAAACGTTTCTGTGTAACTGCTCCGGCGATCTTTCTGTCATCGTTGTACGACCAGATTGCACGTTTCCGGCATTTTCGTGGCGATCTTCGTGCGTCCTGTGCGTCCTTTGAGCGACACCTCTGCCTCCCCCTGTATGACCATACACAACCAACGGTAACCAACGGCGACCATTCCGGATACCTCAGTCTTCTCGTCGACCCTTGAGCTTTCTTTCAGCAGTCTTTGGCGTTCCTTGTGCGTTCCTTATCGATATATGGCGACTGTTCAGCATCCTATATATCCTGGGTATAAATGCGAGGTTATGTCATTCTATCAATAGTTTTATTCAAGCAGGCAAAGCGAAACCGTCTCATAGCGACACAATTAGGCATGGATAATGAACTGCTTATGTATACAGCTTCTTTGCAAGATCGACAAGCGATGTTTTTAAACCAAATAGCTACTGTCATCCTGAAAAGAAGGAGAAATAGACGCAGAAGAAGAAGAACCTGGTGGGTCCGCCCCTGGTTGATGGAACAGGACTACAACCAACTAATGCAAGAACTGCGTCTTGAAGATGAAAGGTCATTCTATAACTACCTTAGATTGAGGCCAGTTCTTTTCGACAAACACTTTGGATGAGTTGTGCCCAAGAATTGCCAAGAAGAACGCACGCTGTGACCCTCAGGTTCCTTGCTACTGGGGACAAGTACCCAAACCTCCAGTACAAGTATCGTGTGTCACACAGCACCATTTTCATGCCTGAAGTTTGCAGAGCTATCCGAGATGAGTACAAGAATGAAGTTGTCAAATGCCCAAGAAACTCCCAAGAGCGGCAAGCTGTTGCAGATGGCTTTAAGAAACGGTGGGATGACTACTTCATGCATGTGGTGCCCTTGTCATGCTTGCATTGGTGAATACGGGATTTGGCCCATCATCTAGTTGAGTTCTTCTTTGGCGACATGGTGAGATGCAAACTTTATGAAAATCAGCAGTACCAGGTCTGTTTATAGATAGTCTGAAAAGGCAAAGCAGTAAGCCCAACGGTGGCAGAAATGAAGCAAAAGGAACGCAAAGGGAAGGCAGAGCAATTGTCGGATGAAGGCACAGTCATTGCTCAATGTACGCTGTTGGTTGCTCGAAGAGCGCAGAAGGAAAGCAAAAGAAGGCAGAGGTGACGAAGCTATTACATGGCGTCCTTTCGCCGACCGTTGTGCGTTCATTCTGCGGACACGGCGATGCTTCTGCCTCCCTTCTGCCTTGTTCGAGCGTCCTTTGTGCAAACCAACTCCTCGGCGACCGCTCTGCGTTTGTTTTGAACATGTTTAATATTGTCGCCGCCACCATGGCGTTCTGTGCCGTCTTTGGCGTTGTCTGCCTTCTTTATACAACCTTCGCAATCATTCTGCTTTCTTCATGCCTTCTTCGAGCGTTCAGATGTATTCTAAATATGTTTAGAACGCACAGAGAAAGCAGAACAGTCGCCGTCCTGTGTAAAGGGGGTATAAAACTAAGGAAGCATACAGTTTTATGAAAAACAATTTCGTGTTTATTTCATTGCTTGACCTTTGGACGTAGATTCATACACCTATAAACTTCTTGAAACTGGATGAAACAACGTGTCATTTTCTCTTTATAGAAACAGGATGAGGTTTCATTAGTAGTTTTCATTTCCACCATTAATATTCTATATTTACAGATTAAATAGCTGATAAGCCTATTATTTTCAATTAACCCATTTAACTTAAGCATAAAATCTTCATTTTTACATTTTGTTTAAGAGTATGAAATACGTTTCACTTACAAAGAAAGGAATGAGACCCAACCGTCGATCTTCCTGTTGGGAAAAACTCATTATTAAAATGTTTATTAGGCAGGCTTGTACACATCATTTTATCCTCACAATGTGTCACGTTTCCAATAACATACATTCGAACTAGTGCGTAATGCCTTGTAACCCATCCCTGAGTTAATAATTACAAAAGCACGCTAAAGATGGTACCTCTGTTACCTGCTTAGCGCTTGCCATTGACTGGGTACGTTTGACACGTGCTCCGAAACAGGCGACTATTTCAGATAGGTGTCCAACCGGTAATGAGCAGGTATATCAGTGCGAAAGTAGATTTTGCTCTTACATAGGTACAGGCAGCCTTCTCCAAACTTTTCTCATGAAACGCCTCAAACCAGGTTGTTCCTCGAGTTTATGTCTAAAGAGGGGTAACGCTTTCTGGATGTTGCACGTCATAACATATTCTATTCATATTAGAACTGGACATCTTACTGCCGTTTTGTTTCCTCTGATAATCATCAGAAATAGATTGGCGTGTTCTTTTAACGGAATCCAGAGAATTGTACCGAATGTGTGACATCAACTATCTCAGCAAAAGAGGACCTGGCAGGATTTGCAATCGCCCCTATCTACAGAATCATCCACAATCGAAAACCGCTTTCTAAAGTATTGTATCTTTTGTCCGTTCATGTGGCATCGGGCTTTTAACATTACCAGTTACGTGAGGAAGACTGGACCCTGAACCCTCCAGCATGAACTGGTGAACTCTATGCTTTAACTCACCTCTATAGCATTGTCCAAAACTTGACCACGGAGAGAGTACTTTTCATCAACATCCAGCTGACGCATCTTCACAAAACCTATCATTCCTGCCTTCTCCACACATGAATGTGCCTGGTTTACACAGACAAAACAGTATGAATACATTGCACAACAGCCAAAATGCTGCAACAACATAATAACAATACCAACAATGATATACTAAAATCCATTAGAAACGCGAAACTCATCACCGGGATAAAACGTTTAATCTCCGTGATAAATGAAGAAAAGAACTTCACACACAGTCAATGTCAGTGAGGGGTATGGCCATCATTTGCGTCGAGCACAGCTACACATCTTCGTCTCATCGATAACATGCCCCTACACCCCAAGAGAGCTGGCGGTATCTGAAGCCGCATTCGTTGTTACTCATGTACGGTATAGGATTGAGCCCCATCGTCCACGAAAGGTGGTGGCTGTTCTGGACGCCAGCTAAAAGCTCACCCTTGAATGAGTGAATACGAAGAGATGATCTTGGGACGGGATCGAGGCACGTGGTTGCCCTGGGTGTGGTCGATCACATATTCTGCCAGTTTGTCCTACGCTCTGTGATAACCTGACAATGTTTGAATTGTGACATTTAAACATTCTGGCCGCTTGATGTGTAGACACACCAGCCTCGACAAACCCGTTCCAACACACAACTCTCTCAACAGCTGATAAACGTGGCATTATTTAAAGACAACAATTTAATACTGAACAAAATGCGGTTTGGGCACACAGTAGAATGATCTGTCAATGCGTTGCGGAATCGTCACCTTTTCTGTATTTTCATGCGATTTGCAGATGAAAAAGTGAAAAGTACATTTTCTGTCCCTGTTGATAGCCGCGTGATTGCTATTCGGGAAAAGCTAAATATGCGGACCTCACTTTTGAAATGTCTCGCTGGCATCAAAAGTACAGTGTCGTCCGACTTCAAGTTGTTCTCAGTGATCTATTCGCACAGACCAGGAGAATGCCTAGTATCTCCACCGGGTGCACATCCTTTCCGACTCTCTGGGTAATACAGGAGGCTGCAGGGTTGGGGAGTCTTCGTGTTCTCCGGAAAGTTCTTTGAGGGTTCAACAAAGTAGCGCTTCCTGGGAGAATTCCCATTTGCGTGAGTGAGTGAGTGTGTGAGTGAGTGAGCATGACTGTACGCCGCGTTTGGCATTCCAGCAATATCACAGAGGGGGACCCCAGAAATGGGCTTGATACATTGTACCCATGTGGGGAATCGAACCCGGGGCGTGACGAGGGAATGTTTTAGCCACCAGGCTACCTCACCACTCCATTCGCTGTCTGGTCTGCGGGCAAAGGGACAAGAGTACCTGAGCTGATGATGAGCCTAACCAGCCTGAATGTTCCAGGAACACCAGACTTGTCTTTTATATTTTAATCTGTAAACCGTAAAACGTCCGTCTTACGTGTTGAAGATAACGACTTCACAGGTGTTTGTAAGATTACGGAATCTGTGAGAAACAACTACAATTTCAACTTACGAGTTTCGATGAATATGCCACAAGTTTAGACAGTAATAATCCATCCTCGATGAAGGGGAATCGGTTTTTGAGTTGTCTCATGGCTGTGTGTCGGGCAGCTAGTAGTGCAACCAGTATACATTCACTTGCGGAACCCTGAAAATACATACGTTTGAAATTATCTTTGATGTGATTTGATTTCAGTGCTTAAATAGATAAACTCAAAACATTCCTTTCGTACTTCTCTAAGCAGCAACTGAAACGTCAGTTTGGAATTTTCCTTCGCAGAAACAGATAACTGTAAACTCATTTAATGATTTGATTGTATATTTTTGACAACATCTCCAACTTTACCTGAGCAAAGAAATTCCTTCCCAAATTCAGAATGGAACCCAGGAAATGGTCTCAAAAACAAACCTGACCTCAGAGATGGAACGGTGTTCTCCATGTTTTTCATGCAATTCATGCTGCACGTGCTGTTCACAAGGACCAGCCCTATAAAATGCAGCCCACACCTGGTTGAAACATTCACATTACAATGTCAGCAGGATGCCGCAACTCAGGGGAACCAGGCGCTAGGAAGACTTGAAGCTGGCCACACTTCACAAGCCGTTGCCAATCACTTCTAGGTCAACGTTCGGACCATCTACAAGCTGCAGCAACGTTTCCGGGCCACCAACATCACAAATGATCGCCCCCGTACTGGTAGACCAAGGGTGACCACAAGACGACAAGTCCGCCATTTTGTGCGACAGCATGTACAGAATCCCTTCATGCAGGCATCCGAAACAGCACGCCAGACAATGAGAACACACTGAAGACCAATAAGTACTGATACAGTACGACGACGTCTTAACAGCGGGAACCTCCATTACCGTAGACCGTACCGTGGACCTATCCTCACCCATCGCCATCGGCGTGAACGTCTACAGTTTGCACTACAACACCAAAACTGACGATACGGGCAATGGAGAACTGTTCTGTTCACAGATGAGAGTCGGTACTGCGTATCAACTGCATATGGCAGAACAAGAATATGGCGACGACATGGCCAGCGTTACTCAGACCAATGTGTTATGGAAAGAGAATCATGGGGAGGTGCAAGCATCATGGTATGGGGTGGAATAGGAGTGAACCAGAGAGTGGGTCCTGTGGTGTTCCAGAACCTTGGTCCAGGCTACATCGACCATGGTCTAATCTCAGACCCCACGTCATACCACATTTCGCACGTCACCGAAACAACATTTTCCAGCATGATAACGCCCGGGCCCATACTGCCAGAGCTACACAGGACTTCCTACAGCAGAACGGTGTCAACATTATGCAGTGGCCAGCCCTTAGTCCTGATTTAAACCCAGTTGAACATCTTTGGGATGAAATTCAGAGGAGACTGAATAATAATGTCATACCAAGTATGCTGGTTGCCATAAAACATGTTCCAAATTTACATGAGTGTACGTAGAGAATCCTAGCATATGTACTATCTACTTTGATAATTGTTGAAAAAGTTCACATGGTTTATTGCGCCAGGCCTTTCTCATAGTGTGGCTCCAGGTGCCAATGGCCTTCATCAATCGATTGGTGCACTCCATGCATAGACGCTGTTCTGCAGTTATTGCCACTCGTGAAGGTCACACTAGATACTGAAGTCAAGAGTCTGAATGAACTGCAAACATTCACGTAATGTCTGAGTTATTCATTGATGTGTCCATATATTGTACACAAAAATGTTTTTGATCCGCTCATTATGTCATTTCTGTAATGAGTTGATTACAGTGCCTATGTAATTTTGAATTCGTTCTGACGTTTTTTTGCTGCTGAGTATATGTTTACCAAGGCCACATAAAAAACATTATTCAGTTACAATAAGTTGAAAGTATGTGCAAAGATTATAAGCATGAGATATTGCTACCAGAAATATTGATTCAAGGGGATTACATTATATTATATCATGCAATCGTGTGTTGCGCGCACCTATTTCAAGAATATAAATTGGCTACAGTGTGTTGTATGGGCCGTCGCCGTGTTTTTAATCATCAGACATCTCAAATATCATTTTCCCAACTTTTCTCCGCTTTTGCATGTGTTGAGTTACGTCAAGGTAAATACAAGGTCATATTGTGAGAACAATTATTAGAACTCGAGAAGAATAGTTCAGAGGAGCGATAGGGTCGCATGTTGAGTCATGGCCAAGGCTCGCTGAGTACAATGTCTATTCCTCAAGAGTGACAGTCAGTGTGTATGTACAGTCATGTATATGTTCCTATCATTCCTACCAGAATCGCATAACTGAACCGGTTATGTTCAATACACATTTTCTTTTACATTTCGTTCTGGTTGCACTTGTTGGTTCAAGTCCGTACCTCTACATCCGACATCCGACATCCGATAGGAGATTAGTTGATTTACCTTCTATCCTTAACGTTCCTACTGTCGGAAATGCTAGAAAAATGCTTTTTAGCCTTAATACTTTGATAAAGGTGATAAATGTACTATGTTGTCAATATATCAACTCGCCTATAGTGTACCTAATTTTTATTTCAATCGATTTAACATTCCCATGCATTTAAAGGGCAGTTTACAGGAGAGAATATGGTACCAAAACAACAACTTAGGATTTTTTCAGAGTTCAACAACAGAAATCTGAAATAGTCTTTACATTTATGCTAATAATACAGGTGGTGTAAAAATATGAATCAACGTTTTTCTTTAACAAATAAATGTTGAATGTTTGTGTTACTTTACTTAATTATCGTTTCTTTATTGAAGAAATATTAATATAAATGTTAAGTCTTGATAAATAAGTTTCCCGTCATGCATGCACATCTTTATCACAGCGTCCACTATGGCCAACTATTTGCAGTCAATTGTTGCAAAGGTTTATAAGTTTTTGTGCTTGAAAAAGACAGAGGTAAACCTTTCATTAGTTTAGAAAGGGTTTATTACAGAACTTGTAGAGCTGTTGGTATGTCTTACCAACAAGTTTACAATATTGTAAACAAATCAGACAAGACAGGGACCGTCTCAAAAGCAAAACCGGGACGTAAAACCATCCTTGACAACTTTGACAAGGGAGTACTTAGACGGGCGGTCTACAAACTTTATGAGAAGAAGAATATATATATTCTAAAGAAGCTACACCAGTGACTTCGTTAAATCTTTGGCCAATGTTCACAACTAGATTAAACTGACCGAATTACATCCATATTTTTGCAATGAAATATACTGTTGACATGCAAAACATTTATTAAAACGTTGCACATTTCTACAATCAATCGATAAGATAACACAAGTGATAGGATTCTTTCCAATGTACAGTAATTCGTATGTTTATTTCAAAACAAACACACATACACAAATGATCCCTTACATAACCAATACGTATACTATACGTACACATATTCAACATTTTGAAGAAAACATCTATTGAGATGACCCCTCCCCGAGCGTGTGCTCAGGTGTCAATTTCACCTGTCGATACCGTGCATGCTGATGACGTAACACAGGCAGTTAATGTTTGTATCAAATAACGTCCCACTACCCGTTATTTTTCTAAGTTTTTGGTATTTTCATCAGTAAAAACACATTTTAGGCATGTCTCAAAATTTATTCCCTCGGTCTACATTAGGTAGATGTTTCTTAAAGTGATATTTGTTATTTAAGTAACTGTAATACCTCTGAATTTTAAATATAAGTCAAAAAGCATTTTTCTAGCATTTCCGACAGTACTTTAACGTACAGTCACGAATATACTTTGTGAGATTTGAGATTCTGCAAGGGATCGCGTTACAAAGTGGTCAGAAATCGCTGAACGACCTTTTTAAAGCTCAGTTATATGCAGTCATGCTTGTTTAACACTCATAGTAATGAGTGAGTGAGTGAGTTAAAATTTTACATCGCATCGGCAATATTACAGCCATATAGCGATGAGAACAAGGTAATCAATTTAAAATATCTGTCGACAAAGGACAGTAAAACCAACTAGACTATCACAGATATATATTAAAACTAGTAATGAAATCTAAAGTACTTTAACTATAGAGGACGATGCAATTTGAAACAGGCTATAGATCGCCAACAACTGAAGGTAGATCACCATACTAGGTACCATGGGGAGTTACAGTACCTTTGCTATCTGCATGGACCCTAGTTGGATTTACATCATCCCCTCAGCTGCTGGCGATTGTAGGAAATGTTTAGCCGAACAAAATAAGAACACAAATACTACTATTAATAATCTGGTAAGCTTAAATTTAACTTTGAAAGTTTTGTGACTTACGTACCGTCTCAGGGGGACAATAATTTTACGATACTTTAACCCCCTTTGAGGGTACAGCCACTAGCAATCGCAGTTGCTAATTTATACAACCATGTTTAAGATACCATTTCTCTATTTACAAAACTTATTACATTTATCTAATAATTCTATTTCCTTTAAAATTTCAATTATTAAATGATAATTCACTCATAGTAACGCTTGTGTTGCAGTCGTTCAGACGTCTTTGAGAAACACAAATCGCACATATGTGCTAATTATTGACTTACCGACCCAGTCCAAAGTTATAATTTCAAGTTCAGTGCAGGCAGGACTTGCGGCCTGAAACGCAAACAGTTTATTCATTATCTAGGCTCCATTGTGACAAAAGTCCTTTACAGTATAGAACTTACATTGTACATTTACAAAGATATACTTGTTTCCTTGGATTAGCTCGCTGACAATGGCGACGTGGTGCTTCAGAGCGTGGGTTCGAATCCAGGATTGCACGCAATCCAAAACAGCCCTACAATCAAAATGTGTAATCCCATATTTGTCAAATATTAGGTCGAGTATGTGGTTGGTTTTCTTCATACTGGCAGATGTGTAGACCTTGCAACAAGATTGTGGATTGCACAATGTGAGAACAAGTCGTTACGTGTTGAAATAAATTGAGCTGGAAAAGTGTTTGCATGGATCGAATGACAAAAGAGTACTACATTAGTTTGATACTCGGAAACTACAAACTGCATTGCCTACACATATTGTTTTCTTAAAATATGCCAACGAATTATGTTATCTAGTATTTGGCCAGTTACAGTCACTTCGCTGTTAAGTGTTCATTCCGCACTAAGATTTTGTAGGCTGATTTTATGAAACGTTTATGCAGCATGTTGTGAGTTGGGTTCAACATCACAGGAGTAAGAACGTCCTTACCCAGGAGAATCCAATGCAGCCGATAGCTGCAGACAGCATGTCCCCAAGGATAGACGGATAAGAGTTTCCGGCGGGGAAGTAAGCATGGAAATTCGGATGCTGCCAGTGTGTTATCTGAAAGGTGACAATAAAATGGAATCAGAGCAACATATCCTTATTTGCCTTCACAAGGAAAACACTATCCCCCGCCACAGGGCACATTTGAGTTATGTTTGTTGATATAGCCATGAATTATATGGGAGTAAATGTTATGCTATAAATAAGTCATATATAACATTGAGAAGAGATAGTCTCTACGTTTGCTTTGAGTAACATTAAAGGTACGTCAAATGCATACACACAAAAGGAATTTTTTTTCGTTTTGAGCGATTACTCTGGCCCCGGAACACATTTCTCTGTGTGTGTGTGTGTGTGTGCGTGCGTGCGTGCGCGCGCGCGCGCGTGTGTGATCGGACAACTGTTTTAGTTCTTTGCTTTCGTCCTTTCCAGTAAATTCTTTAAGCTCTTGGTTTAACATAGGGGTTGTTTACCATCCGGAATCTCCTCAGCATAGATCGCCAAAACTCCTTACTCACCCCCTTTACATTGATGACCTTGAACCTCTTTCAAAGGGAAAACCAAGCTTAAAAATATCCTCTTGCGAATAAAGCATATGCACGGAAAGCAGAAGCCCGCAGGTTGAACTACGGATAGGTTTTGTTGCCCTGCTTGATGCTCTGTATAAGGGATGTTTAGAAGGAAAACAGTACACTGTGTCAAAGGGTTAAACGTCGAAACGGTATCTCAGGGGTCACAACGACAAATAAATATACTTCAATCTTATTATTGCCTCTATTTACATGTCTTCATAGATGGGGATCAAATGTGCTGAATCACATTACTTCCACCATGGCTCAAAATACTTCGTCTGGTTCATCCAAGAACAAACGTCATCATGTTGATGGTGTATTATCTGACGGAGAAATCCCTACATAGGTCACCGATTCTTGACCGAGATTTAGCGTCATTGCGTGTGAAGAAGGCAATCCCTTGTCATTTCTAATGGCATCGAACTCCAACTATTGTTGCGGAATAATCAGGGACCGAGACGTCAGATAAGAGCGGGGAATAAATCACTGCTGAACTATACTCCTCACAAAAAATTAAGCAACAAGTATTTTCAGTGTAATACCTTTATCAATCTCGATAGCGATTTTTTGCCGACATGTTACTGACAGGTAAATATTCAAAGAATACATAGCCTTTAGTGACTGTGAAATTGATTTATCTGATAAACTGATTACATCAACCGAGCTCAATCACCCTCAGAAACAACATGCAAAATGTATGATTGCTCCATGCAACCTGATCGTTTTACCTGTAAAACATTACAACAGAATCAGACAGTAATTTTATTTAATAGGCCCAAAAATACATTATATAAATAATAAGTTACATGCACAGGGAGACAATTATTTATAATAAAACATCAGAATCTCTTATGTTTCCCAACATTATATAAAAATAGGCACACATTATTTATAACATTTATGTTTTATGAAGTCAAATAAAACTGTGTTGTGAAATAGGATGTTTCAAAAATTTACCCAGAAACGTATTCCTTATATCTAAGTAGGCTTTACAATAAAGTAAAACATGTATTTCATCTTCAATTAAATTCAGATTATTTTTGTAGCAAAAAGGACAGAATCTTGAATAATAAGGGACATTGTTATATCTACCGGTCTCAGAACTAAGTTTAAATTTACCGCATCTAAATTTTGTTAAACTATTTCGTAAATATGGGGCAATACCTAAACTGAGATAAGTTTCAACATTCAGGAGGGACTTGAAAATAATATAATGAGAACACTTGGTTGTACTATGTAGGGATGAGTACCATTCTTGTGAAAGAATATCAGACAATCTTTGCTTAAAAACAGAAATGAAACCATCAATATCTCCAATTTCCTGTGAAATCCAAACAAAGCCAAACCCAAATCTAAATAAGATATTCTTGATATGAGATGCCCATGTCGTCCGTCCAGATTCATCCAAAGACTTAAGCATTAAATAAAACTGATGAGGTAATCCAAACTTGGAAGAGTTAAAAGTCTACACCAATATTTAACTGCCCTTGACATATAAGTAAGTTGAAGAGGGAATCTGCCACATTCACCAAGAACCATATTGTTCCATGTATTTTTACCAACTTTTAAGAAATATTTACATGTCTTTATCTGGATTTGTTCAATGATTTTACAAAGGGTAACACCCCAAATTTCTGAACCGTAACAAAGAATAGGTTTAACCATAGCATCAAATACTTTAAAAAGATCCGCACATGACAGATAACCTACTCTTTTTTGATATCTATAGATAGCCATAAGGGCTTAATTGGCTTGAGAAGCAAGAGTAGTGTGAGCTTTAGTCCAAACTAGCCTAGGAGTGAACACAATACCCAAGTACCTGTAGTATGAGACAACTTCCAGCCTTTGCCCATTAAGAAACCACTTTTCATACTGTCTAAGGGGCCCGCTATTCCTGAAAACAATAACTTTAGTCTTATTAATATTGACCTTCATACCGGTGAGTTGACAAAAAATTTCAAGCCCATGAATCTTCTTCTGAAGCTGGAGAGCAGTATCCGAGACTGAGGAAACATCATCCGCAAACATTAGAGCATATAGATTATTAACATCAGGTGTAATAAATATACCACGGCAACCAAATTGCTCCATACTTTCCATAAGCTGATTAATAAAGATAATAAACAATTGGGGACTGAGGATGCAACCCTGCCTAGTACCTATACTACAATCGATGTAACTTGAAAGACCTTGAGATGTTCTGACACAAGCTGACAACCTACCATACATTGATACAAGGATGTTATAGAATTTACCACCAACACCAACTTTTTTTAGACTTGACAGAAGAATTTTATGATTAACTGTATCAAAGGCATTTGAGAAATCTATAAACAGACAATAGAACCTTCCTTTCTTCTTACATGAATATTTCTGTACCATAGCTTGAAGTGAGAAAATGTGGTCAGTAGTAGAATAATTACTCCTGAATCCTGCCTGAGCTTGATGAATAATATTCTTCTCCTCACACCAAACCTGTAACCTACTGTTGAAAATGGTAGTGAATATTTTACACACAGAATCAATAAGAGAGATACCTCTATAATTATTGGGGTTACTTTTTACACCAGATTTGTAAAAAGGACAGATAATGCTTTTACCCTAAAGCACCGGAAAAATACTGTCTTGGAAAATCTTGTTAAACAACACTGTAAAATAATTGCTGATAAAAGTCTTAGAAGCTTTAATAAAGTCAATTGCAATACCATCTGGTCCAGGAGACTTGTTTTTTGCCAGTTTATCAATGTGAAGTAAGACTTCGTTTTCAGTAATGTCACAATTTAATGTTTTTAGCTCTTTATCCTTGATGGACTCTGAATTGATATCACTGTCATACTCATTACCAGAATTCTCGGTTAGAAGCCCTGAGAAGTGACAGAACCAGTCTTCACAGCTTATATCGTACGTAGTATCACATGTTGAGGTTAAACCTGATTGCTTTAATGTTTTCCAGAATTCCTTTGGGTTGTCTCTTGCTGTAATAAGTTTCCCTTTTTGTACATCGAAGTATGCTCTTCGTTTTCTGTTAAAAGTCTTCTTGAAAGATTTACGTAGGGTTTTATAAATCATAATATCCAAGTTAGTGTCTCTATGATCTCTTAATGCTTTATATTTCATATGTTTTAATTGTTCGAGTTCTTGGTCCCACCATGGGGGTTGAGGTTTAGAGTTAACATCATGGTAACCTGAAAATATCTTCTTATTGTGGTCTGCAGCTCGCTGATACAGTTCAGTGAAAACATTTAATGAATCTTCAATAATGGTGTCTATACAGTGATATAATTTACTACGTAGATTTTAAAACAATTCTTGGAACTTAGAGATAAATAGATCACAGAACTCTCCATTCCACACATATTTAGTCCATATTGTTGTTGAATTACTCTCTGCAGAATTACTAGTTGGAGAATTTGATAGTACAGTTGGCTGTAGTGCACCAATCATGTTAGGTAGCTGGATGTTCAGAGAGCAGTAAATAGGGAAATGATCAGACACATCACAAGTACCAACACCAAAATCAGCAACTCTAGGAAACACAGATGTCGATCCAATCCTGTAGTCTACTAGACTAGAACCGTTATGTGTAACACAAGTAAACTGCCCTTGTTTATCCGGTACAGCAAGCGGGTCCTAACTTCATTTGTATGGATGATAATGTCCGTCGATGGATGATAATGCCCGAGAAAGAGCTGTTACTGATGTTGTTTAGATCAACAACATCACACATATCGACTGGCCAGCAAGGTCACCTGATCTTAATCCCACTGAACATGCTTGGGACATTATTGGAAGTCGTGTTTACGGTCTCCATCTTCACCCCCAGTTTCTGGATGACATTGAGCAGGCGTTACAGAGAGAATGGCAGAACATTCCACAACAGCAACTTTAAAGGCTCATTTGGTCAATGCAAAGACGTGTAGAAGCTTGCATTCGTGCTCATGATGGTCATACGCGTTACTGAACACTGCTTCACTGTCCAAAACTGACTTGAACTTGAATGTTAACATTTTGCTTCATCAATGCAGCACATTTTGCAGGACTGTTTCACGAGCAAATGCTTTTGGTGATTTGTAAGTCTATTATTGCTCAATACCATTTCATTTCATTTTGTTAATCTTATGAGAGCATTCGACCTCAAAATGCCCATGGTTTGACGGCGAATCACAAATTCATAAAAGCAAATATCTTCAAAATATTTCTTTTCTTGAAGCCTAAAAATTAGTTCCTACTCAATCTGAAACTCCTACCATAAGTATTCAAATGTGATTTCTTCCCAAATCAAGTAGCTAAATTTGCCAAAACCTCTATCATATGCCAGACATCAATTTTTTGGGTTACAAATCAACTGATATTTGATGAAGTTAATCACATGTGACAAAACCAGATTAACACATTTTCTCTCAGGACAATCCATTAGTGACGTCACATCTGAACCAGATTTGCCAAATGATAAAGGTTCATTATAACGCGGTATACCCTTATCCA